AGAAATAGCAGGCCGGAGAAGAACCAATGAAATAGTACATACAGTATTCAATTTAAGCTGCCACTGCTAATAGTAGAGCTGACGGGTAAACTTGAGCCAACCATATTTTGCAGGAATTTTAAACATAAGAAGGATAAGAAGACATATAAATAGATATAAATACTTTCCATATATATATATCTTGTAAGATGTTGCACATCAAAGGTCAGTGAAACTCTTTCTCCTTCTGCATGAGAATCTGACCTTCAGTTTACTTTCTAGCTCTGTGTACTGGAAGCTTGATAAGGTGGTGTCTTAAGTTGGGTTTCTCAAGTAACAGATTCTGAAGTAACGTGCAGAAAGTTTGTTGGGGAATTCTCTTGGGATCAGCACCTGTAGGGGAGTGAAAAGATATAATTTGGCGGGAGTTGAACTGCAGTACAGTCGCAATAAAGGCCTCATCTGACTCCGTGGTGATCTCTGGATGTGGGATGGCTTTTCAGAGATTTTCTGCCTTGAAGGAAGAGATAGGGCCTTTATAGATCCACATCATTTCAACCAATCATTGGATATAAGTTGCCTCAGAGGTGGGATTGTAACTTGAGGCAAGTTAGTGTTCTTTGGCCGAGAGCAATTCCTGGAGAGTGCCTCAGCTAAAGCTATCAGCTGCCAACACTTGCACAGCTCAGGAAATGAGTGCTGTATAACTGAAGGGGGTTCTGGGGAACATACTATAGCATCCACTCTAAGTGGATGGTTGCTAGGCAACATTGTCTATGGTAGAAAACGACCCCAGATTGGTAAACTGCATCTGAATTGGAAGGAATTATAATGGACTGTAAATATAATAGCTTTGATTTTTCCCTGAGGGTTGTAACTCTTGTAATTGGGCATGTCCTTTACAGGCAGGAACCCTGGAAGCCATGCCTATGGAGTTGTTGCAAGAGGTATTGGCTTCTGTGGGGTATAAGATTTTAAGGCAGTGTAACTCCTGTATCTACCCAAGGTGAGTCTACTCCCTCACTCCTGAGCTAACACCACACGGGCCAAAGAGAGTAACTCCTGGAAGGCTGTATGGTCTGCTACAGAAACTGCTGTGAGGCTCCCACTAAAAAGGAATGCCTAGTGCTGCCCTGATGGCAAGCTGTGATTCCTAGCCTGTGTCTTTTGAGGTCAATGGATGTCAAGTGTGGCCCAGAATAGTCTTGTGTAATTGTTTAGTTGTGCCTGTAAGTGACTCCATAAGTGGGTATTGTAGACGTTTTTCATTTGGGTCTCACTTTTTAGAACATTTGGTTTTGAAATCTAAAACTAAGTAATAATTTGATGGTTTTAGAGTCAGGCTGAAAATATTTAAGTACTTGGGGTACATGGATACTTGAGGGTTTTTTTTCCTACTGCTGACAGGTCATCATTAAGAGATATTGTCTCCGTAGACTATGGAGGAAAAGACTCAGCTATAGTACTGATCTCTGAAAACAGTAGTCTTTTATATGTGAACAGTGGAAAGAACTGTTGGTTCTTAGCTCTCCTTTAGTCATAGATTGGTCCTTTGGGCCTAGTTGGCAGTTTCCCTTGTATCCTATGAGTCACAAAGTTTTGCTGATTCTTCCTTTGTAATAACTCATTCCGTCCCTTCCTTTCCATTCACTCTGCTGTCACCCTGAGTAGTAATATAGTCTTTATCACCTCATATGTGGATTACTGAACTGCTACCTTGGAAGTGCTCTCTGCCTTTAGGTTTTGCCTAATCTGAGCTGCGTTACCCGTGACATCCCAGACTGAATTCCATGATAGAGTTTTGTCTATGGTTTTCAGATTATTAATGTGTAATCCAGATTTTCCTGGAGCATAATGTCCCTGTAAATAGTGAGAAGGAAGGCTGGAAAGATAGATTTAGAGAAGATGTTGGCTAAAGAGTTCCAGTTATTTTGTAGGCAATGGGAACCTTTTCAGTAAATGACCTTTAAGGCAGGACAGTAGGTTGATCAGAGCCAGGCTTCAGGAGGATTAATCTGGTAATACAATAAAGGGAAAGAGTAGAAGAAATGAGACTAGTTAAGAATTTATTGTTAGAGGACCCAAACTGAGGTGGAAATAGAAAGTATGGAGCAGGTAGGATCTCAACAGTATAAAGGAAGAATTGTTGACTGTGAGAAGAAAGCAAGGAGGACCTCACTGAGGTCAGATAGTATGGATTTATAACAGGCCCATTGGTGTCCAGACAGTCCATTAGGAATAGAGAAAGTAAAACTCCTCACACACTAATGCTTCTTATGTCTTTATGTGTTAACACCCTTATGAAATTGCAGACACGTTAAAGGGCAGGATCATGGCTTACTTCTCATCATCCTAACACTTCCATTTCCAGCACAGAGCCTAATGAGACCAGTTCTCTAATCTCCTGTATGTTTTTATTCTGTCCATATATAGAAGAATATTTAGGACCATCCCAGGTATTTAAGATTGTTAATTCTATCAACTATCAGCAGGTGGAAACTCTGTTTTCTCTCTTCTTGTTTCACTTTTACATTTCTTTCATTGTGAAATATAACTAGGGTGACCAGGTATCTGAGTTTTCTCTGGATAGTCTCAATTTAGACCTGTTCTCCTAGAACAATTACCAATAATACTTTCCTTCACTCTTAAAACTTTGTTCAATAAATTCTGTGCTCACTCTGGATATATGTACAGAAATACACAAGTGTATTTCTTGTGTAACTACCACCCCAGTCAAGAAATGGAACACTGCCAGCCACTAGAAGTCTATTTCCCAATCACAGCTCTGTCACTCTTCCTTAGAGTTAACTACTATCCTGATTTTTATGATAACCATTTTCCTACTTTTTAAACTAATGAAAGCTAAGTTATCAAAGCCAAAAATGCGCTACAAGGATTTCCTTCCAATTATTATTCTTTTATTTATTTTATATACTTTAAGTGTGGGTAACTTCATATTTATGTTACTAATAGATATCTTTGAAAGTATATTTGTATTTTAGTATCTGACTACAAGGTTGTAAGTAATCATCCTGAAGATAGATGTTGTATTTTCATTATTTATTTATTACACTAAGATTTAATGAATAAGAAACAGCTCTTGGCCTCAAGAATTTAATAATCAAACAAGCAATTACAATACTACAAATCATTCAGTGCGATAATGGGAGCATGCACAAGATGTTGTTGTAGGACATTACCTAGCCTTAGGGATGATTGGGAAGACTTTCTAGAGAAGGTGATGTCTCATTTGAATTCTGAAGACATGTAGGAATTATGCAGGTGAAGGTGGTGGGTGAAGTGAGGGCAGAGCACAGGGGTCACTTTCCAACAAAGGAAATAGCCCAGAGACAAGAAAAGTATGGCACAGTTACGTCACTGCAAGTTGTTCCCTGCAATTGGAACACAGAGAGTGTTCTCTATGGTCTCTCATGGGGGAAAAGGGTCTCTTGGTTCAAAGTATTTTGCAGGGCAGTGATGAGAGGTATAGTTCAAGGCAGAAACCAGATCATAAAAGGCCTTAAATGTCATACTGAGTTTGAACTTGATCCTGAGGGCAATGAAAAAACTTTGAAGAGTTCTAAGCAGAGAGTGAGTAATGTGGCAACATGGTCATATTTGCATTTTTGAAAGGTTATTCTCACTATAGACTTAGAGAGAGCAGTTAAATGGGCAATCCTAGAGGTGGGGACACTGGGCTGGAGACCATCACAGTCATCCGCTTGTGAAATGATGGTTGCTTGAGCTAAGCCAGAGGAGAGAGGGTAAGAATGAGAATGGAGAGAAGTGGACGGATTTAAGAAACAGTTGGGGAGAGAATCAAGAGGATTTTAATGATTCATTATATATGGAGTTTGCGGGAGAGAGAAATAAAAGATGATGCTGAGATTTCAGCTGGAGGTGGGGAGCACAGACAGTGATACGGGTTTGTAGAGGAAATTTGTAGTATGGTGTTGAAGTGGTTGAGTTTGAAGTATCTGTGGGACATCCAAAAGGAAGTGACCTTGGGTCTGGAGCTCTGGAGAGAAATTTAGGGCAGAGATTGACATTAAGGAACAATAGCTACTAGGTGCCAAGTGAAGCCATTCTTATGGATCTTAATATGATACTATAAAGTTTCTAAGATGGAAAATGTGAATAAATTGTGTTCATTGTCTAATACCCTGACACTCTTAGGGAATTAGTCTTTTGGTGTTAAAGCTTCCAAGAAATATTTGTACAAAACATTTTCATGATCTGTTTTATTTTTTAGGTTTTTTCTTTTTTCTTTTTCACATTATACAGGGGTTTTAGCTTTAACCACAATGTGTGTCAGCTATAGAAATAAATACAACAAAATGAAGTTATTATGGAACTTTTGGAATTAAAGCAGCATGCATACATTTATTAGGGTTTAGCAAATTAGGAGAAATTTAAAAGTCCCAGGGTTTATTATATGTTTAGATTTCTCACAGTTCTAGAAATAAAATCTGTATGGAAAATGCTTTTAGAAAAAAAGTACATTTTTTAAATGATCTAAATGGAAAACATATGTTGTTAATTTTCTGCTCATTTTTGGCTTACAGAGATACTTAACATTTTATAAATCAAATAATTTAGATGTATATATAAGTATTTTCATATATAAATATAGAAATGTATTTGAATATTTTAGGATTACACTGTTTTATCATGAGACCGCTATAACTTTCTGCTATGCAATTCTAATGTACTTAGATATATTTTAACATCTCAGATACACCTAGAATGCAATTTCCCCTCAAAAGTGTGCTTATTTTAAATATTTTGTTTCAAAAAATTATAGTAGCAGTTAAGCTTAGCAGTAATTTACTAATAGTTTAATACTAATTTATTCTCTAATTTGAATTTTCAGTGTAGTTCTTTTACGTTATTATTATTTTGAATGAGCTATAACCCGTCTTATTTTTTATGCTATGTAAGCAAGCATATAATTTAATTTTTGATTACTATGATAATAATTAGATACAGTATGTAATATATAATATTTGTTTTCTTTATAGGAAAATGGTTCTCCTGAAGAACATGCAGTCTATGTGTGGGACCATTTCATAGCCCAGTCTGCAGCTGAAAATGTGTTTTTTGTTGCTCACAGCTATGGAGGACTTGCTTTTGTTGAACTGGTAAGTGCATATTTAACTCTATTTTTAATTCCCAAACTCGTTACATGTTCATCCCCTCCACTCCTTTTTTCTTGGTATCATTACTTTAAATTATTTTATAAAGGATGAAAATAAAGTATTTTGAGTAAATAATTTTATGACATTTAAAAAGAGTATATATACTTATTTATTTTATTGTGGCAGAGCTTTTCAATGCTAACCAGAAAGCTTTTGCTTGTTCCTTATTTACATATTACTTTTTAAGTTCTACATCATAGCCCCAGTTTCCATACATTTTATGAGATTTATGTTCCCTGTTTTATTTATTTATGTTCCCTGTTTTATGTGTACATCATTGAAGCATATATTATCTGTGAAGTGTTTAAAATTTCAAGAGACTCTTTGAATATTTGGGAATATTTTGATAATTAACTGACTTTTATCTATACAAGTTAGTACTTGATCAGCATCTATATAATTAGTGTTAAAACTATCAGAAAGCTTCTGTTAATCTGCTTGTAAGTGGAACTCATTGCTTGGCTATAAAAATCTTTGCATTTCAAAATAATCTGATTCTTGGAGTTAAGATATGTGTACATGATAGAAAAAATTATCAAGATTTCTGAATTTTATCTCTATTGTCTGCAATGTTACAAGTACCATATCTTGTGCCAGTATGAATGGTTCATGAGATATAATCAGTACTAAAAATGCACTAATGAAGAATTCCTGCCTCCTTGTCCATAACCCCTTATGTCACAGGAAGGTACCAATGCTATAATAAAATGATTAATTTGATAAAAGTGCATTTGATGATTTTAAATCCAAGTAGCCTAAGGTGAACATTAAAAGCAGGCACAGCATTGGTTGTCTAATTTTTATGTTTCTAAACTTTGCTGTGTATTTCTCTTTGTCGTAGAAATTAAACACATTTCCATGGCCTTTTCAACTTGCCCACATCTCGTAGCTTACCCACAAGATTTAGATATAAAACTGGCAGTGACATCTGAGAATACATTTGCTGACCTAAATTTATGAATGCTTGTGCTCTCTTCAGATCAACAAATAAGCTAAATCATTTTTTGAAATTATTTTTAAGTACTTTTAACTCTACTGAATTTATTTATTTTAATATATAATGGATATCTTAAGATAGCTCTCTATCATACTAGTATGACATACTTTTTAAAATGTGAATGTTGTCTTTCAAATAGTTCTTTTAACCCTACAGATATAAATATATATATACACACACACATGCATATAAATATATGTAGCTTATGTTTTCTTTTTAAGCCATTAAATTACTTAAAACATAAAATTTCATTGACTTGTAGAGTAACTTAAAATATGTCTGGAAGCCTGCAAGACTAATCAAATTCTAATTTTTTTACTTTAAGACAGTTTATAAAACCCTTTTATATATCAAATTTGGAATTAAGTGAATTTTGGACAGTTTTAAAAATGAACTTAAGATCTCAGAGTAACAGATGACCAGTGTATCAGTCCTATTTTGCCTGTCCTTCTTGTCACACACTGGTGGATATTTCTCCACTTTTGTTCCACTTTAATATAAAGCACACAGATGTTTCAGAACAAGACTTGACTTCTGACCTTGAGGCTATTAGGGTCAGGGTCCTCAGGGCCTGTGAAATTATCACAAGCTGAGCTAAAGTTTTTCTCCATCACAGGAAGTAACCAGTAAGTAAGAAGTTAAAAAGGAGCTTTGTCAGAGAGACAAGATGGTCTCAGTAAGGGTCAGCTTCTGTAGTCTGCTATCTCTGCAGGAGGTGCATGCATGGGAGGAGGAATATAATATAACCACTGGCACATCACATATCTGTCAGGCAACACCAGGACTGAGAAGTCTATTTAATGTAATATACCTTGTTTAGGTTTTAAAATATTAATGTTGATTATCTCAACTTCATATATTTGCTACTTTTTGCAAAGTAACTTCGATGGGAGTATGTAGTAGGGGAGTACAGATGGTGGCGACTAAAGAAAAAGTGGTTCCTGACCTAATAAAGTGGATTCCTGTAAACAACATTGTACACTGATGAGTTTACATAAATTTTTGACAAAGCTTGATTAATATATTTAAGGCCATTATGTTTCTTCTTAAATTCATAAGGATTTTTAAAAGATAGCATTGATAAAGAAACAACAAAAAAATTGAAATATCTTTAAACCTTTTGCTTAAAGCTGAATAATATTCTTTCCTATTCTCTCTAATATTCTTAGGGGGAAAGTCATGGTATTTAAATTGTTGACAAATATTTATTCTCTCAGGATTTTTCAACATGAGTGTAATATATAAAATTGTTTTACGTGGATTCAAAATTTTAATATTAACTTTACAGGAAAGTAAGTTGTGGACATGTTAAATTATGGTTTAGTTTTTCGTCTAGATAGTAGTATCCACATCAGACATCAAATCCTTTGGGTTTCAATAAAGTTTAACTGTTTTAAATTGTCGTAAAATTTTACTCCTGATGAAAGACTCTGTACACACACACACTCTTCTTATGGAACAGTCCTAGTTTGTAGCATCATGTTTGAATGCATAGAAATTGTTTTTATACCTTTCTCAGACAAGTTCACGTTCTTCTCTTGAGATCATGAATTTTAAGAAAATTTATTTTAAATGTAAACTGTGTGTGGCAATGACAGTTTCACCAATAAATGCAATTACTTATAGTGCTTACTGTCTGAAAACGGGTACCAGTCAGGACGTATTCTAAAATGTATCTTGCCATTAGTTAACTTAAAATTGTGTATAATCGTAGTTTAAAATTAAATGTGCTGCTAATAGATTATCTGAAAATAAATTACTTTTAAATTTAGATCACAAAATCATTGTAGAGCTTTCATGTTTTGCTAATTGTTGTCTGAAAACTGAGCATGTGATTTATGATTATATCCTATCTTAAAGTGTTGAGTTTCTCCTAAAGAATACATTATAGTTACAGATTTATTTTCAAAACCTATGTTCATTTCATGGTAGTAAATCCTGGAACTTGATCAGGTCTAACCTAGTAAAAACGTATACAGTTGACTATAATAATGAGAAAAGTGATACTAAAAATGTGCCTTTCACTGCTTTTATTTTCATCATATGGTAACAACTCAAATTTCTAATTCTCTAAACTTTCTGTGATCCTGGTAAAAATAGATGTTGATAAGATGGCACTGGTAGCAATTCCAGCATTTACTCATTAAATGCAAAAGGGAAGAACTATTTATTTTATAAATTGATAATGAATTTTTGAAAGTAATATATCTAACCTATGCTATCTTTTCTGTATATTTAAAATAACACTAATATATATTGGTTATTAAACTATCATCTGTGAAGCTTTCAATTTCTGTCTTAGAAATTCTATTTTATACATGATAGAATCAGTAGTAGTCATAATCAGAATTCGTTTACCAAATTCATTCAGAAAGACGTCTACAAATAGCACAGTTTACTTTTGCCTTATATTAGTTGTTAAAAACCAAGCTCATATGTTGGAAATTAACTGTCATTAAAGAACAATGCAGTTTTTAAGCGTTTTCATCATCTCTTTCACCAGCCACTAAGTGATTCCATCGCTTCCATTGTCGGTCATTTCAGAGTGCTTTGCTCTTGTCTTGCTAGGTGATGGTCAGTTTGACAAAATCAAGTAACCTTAAAATTTTCTTTTATTTGGAAATGTTTGCTTTCCTTGTCAATGCCAAGTTTCCAATCTCAGCTCACCTTACCTTCTCTGTTTGTAGTGCTCAATAACTCAATTTGTCTTCAGATTTCTTTTCTTAGTCAAAGTGCGAGTGTTGATATTTTTATAAAACATATTATACAGTTTTAGTGAATGTTTCATTAGTTTATTGAATCATCTCAGCTGATATAAAATTAATGTTTTTCTTATTACTTTTATTTGCTTTTCCATATCATTAGTGATGTATTCACAACCACCATTTAAAACATCGCTTAAAAATGTGTGAAAACTGCTCCTTTTGAAAGTGTATCTCTACCCACTTTTGATTTTGGTTTCTCCATGCTTGTCAGCACTTGATTGGCATCTCACTTGCATGTGAATTAAGGAATGAAGGGAAGTCTATTTTCCTACCGTTGTTCCATGCTGGGCTCCCTAGCCTCCAGGCAGCCTAAGCTGACCTTCAGCAGCTGATAGAAGACTAGTTTTTGGACGTAGCTGTGTAAGGACGCTCAACATCAGTCTACTCTGAGTCCATCTTTTAAAATTGCCCAGAGCATGGTTTGGATTTACACTGAAGAGAAAATGGAATGGGACTAAAAGAATCAGTTTTACCTTTAGTGATATGAGCTAACTATGACCTTAAAGAGGCATAATTTCCATTTTGTCTACAAAGAACGAAGTAAATTGGATATTGGTAGGATATCTGCTTAATGTGATCAATGGGAATAGCTAAAAGTTGGGCTGCTGGGAATCAAAAATTGAGGAGAGGTAGAATAAGGAGAGAGAAACCAAAGAAAAATTGAGCCATAATAGTGTCAAAATAATCAGGCCCAAGACACTTGTTACAAACCTACTTTAATATGTAGGTAATTCAGTAAAAATAAGCTGCCATTTGTAATATAACTTAAATTTCTGATTTGCCTGCCTACATGACATAAATAGCATGTTAATGTATGGAATGAGTACAACTTGTTTTATGGAATGCTGTCTTAATTCTCTAGTTGTTTTATATGAAAACAGTTTAGTTTCTGTAAACTCCTTAAAGAGAGGAACCAGAGGTTATATTATTTTTGCCTCTTCAATTTTATTTCATGCCATGCATATAGTATAAATACTGTATTTTGATTGGTTGTTGATAACACTAATTTTAGGAGTTAGTTGCAAGAGTCCACATGAGATCCAATGAAGGGCTTTACCATCATAAAGTAGTGGGAATGGTAAGGAAGAAGCACACATTAGAGATGTTGAGACAAATTCTCCTTAGCTTAGTGACATTGGATCTGGAAAGCTGAATGAGGAGGAAGAGGGTGTGGTATATCC